GGGGCGGCATAGATAGAATGTGGCCAAGAGCTGGAGCCCCATGCACTGGGACAGGAGCTACCCAACTGCAGCTTCCCCCTCATCTCACTGGGCTTGTGGTGCCTGGCACACATCCCCGTGACTTCCTGGCATAAGCTACTGCCTGGAGCAGTGCAGCAGGAGCCAGAGGAGGAGGAGGAGTCACTGACGGGGGGGAAAGGGGGGCAGAGTGGGCACCAGCACGAGCGCAGAGCAGGCTACCCCGGGCAGGAGCAGGAGGGGCTCAGTCCCATGTAGAATGCCGCAGGGGCAGCCACAGGCCAGATGGAGGGTGCACAACATGCCTGCAATGCATTACCCAGGCAAGCTCTGAAGCATGCACCCTCTGCCCCTGCTTCCTTCCCCCACCCCAGCCAGCTCCTGTGACCTAGTGCGCAGGCAGACCTGCACGCCCACACACGTACACTCATCCCACTGGACACAACCCCCGCACACGCCCCTGAACCCCTCAAACACACCTCCGCGCCCTCTCCCACATATAATACGCAAGAGTAAGACTATTTTGAGCTCTTATGCAGTTGCCTCTAGATACACTACTCAAGAAACATAGATCAGGACAAAAATTATTTTTTGAAATAAAGTTAAAATATGTTATTTAACATAATAGTAAGTAGATGTTTGATTTTTAGTATATGATTTGTTTATCTATAATTTGTTAACATTATATCTTCTGAAAGATTGTGTGTGCAGCCCTCGACAGGTCAACAAAACTCGTTAAGTGGCCCTCCAGCCAAAATAACTGCCCACCCCTGGGTTAGGTGGAGATTAATTAATATTCTTTTTGATCAATGTGAATCAAGTTTAGCAAACTGTGCAGTACCAAGGAAATAAGCAGAACATTTCTTGCCTGCCCATTAAAACTATTTTAAAAGGAAGAGGGGATATAATTGCAATTCTTCAGCTGGGATAGTATTGTTAATATAATGTATAATGCTTTGCTATTTATGCTGTACTTTTTGTCTCTTAACTACTTGAGCTACATGAATTCTTAATTGCATCAACATCATCTCTAATTAACAGAAAAGCAAATTCTGACATAACTGTAAGATATATAAAATTGTACATATGCTTGACTTCTTACTCAAATTTCAACTGCCAGAAGCACTGTGCCTAAAAAACAAATGACATTGTACTACACATTTTGCACTTGGTATTACATAAAAACAGAGTAAAATATAATTTTCATAGCAGATTACAATGAAGGTGGTTTTTTGGTCCTCAGTACCTGAATTTTGATGTACCTTAATTGGTTCACAATCTTTAATGTACTTATTTATCCTCACAACTGTGAAGTAGGAAATCATCATCATCCTAGTGTTATAGACAGGGGACTGATGGGCAGAGAAGGGTCAGATTTACAAAGATGGGTAAATGCTTAGAGTTGCAGAAACCACATTTCATGTCTCATTTGCTAGGCACATTTGACTATCTCACTGGTAATCCATCTCCATTTTCAGGCACCAAAATAACTTGATAAATCTGATTGCAAAAAACTTCTGTGGTTAGAGCTGCACCGATACATCAGTCCAATATTGGATCAGCACCTATGTAAAGAAAATCGATTGTACTGGAAATTGGCCAAATGTGGCTGATAATTCGGCTGATAAATGCCCGTGCATGTGCACAGCTGCAGTGCAGCACCCAGGCAGCAAGGAGCACAGCCTGGCAGCTTGGAGAGCTGCGTGCAGCTGGTAAATCTGTTATGGTGGAAGGGGAGGGGGGAGGAAAGGGGTGTGGGGGTGCAGATCAATGTCCCCCCGCAGCAGGGGAAGGAATGGGGTATTGGCTGTGCTTGGGGCAGGTAACAGCGGCGCTTGGGAGGAGAAGTTACGGGGGGGCCTACAGCAAAAGCTGGGGTAGCTGCAGCACCCCCTGCAGCCCACCTCCCAGTGCTGTCACCACCTGCCCCAAGCACAGCTCGTCTCAGCCCCTGCCAGAAAGAGCTTGGCACAGTGCCAGCGCCAGCTCCAGCCTGCAGCTGCAGCCCACTCTGCACAGATCTGGGGGGCACATGCCTCCCTCCCCCCCATGCCCTCCTGAGCTGGGCAGCACCTACCCCAGCCCCCCGCCCAGCCCCATTGGCCTTGATCTGCCCCTCCCCCCTCATGCCCTTTCCCTTCCACCACAACAGACTTACCAGTTGCACGCAGCTGTATCAGAAATCAGATCAGTATAGGCCGATATGCCTCCTTAAAAATTGGCTATTGGTATTGGTGCACCCCTATTTGTGGTAGAGCAGGGAACTGAATCCAGGTCTCCTTGGCCTATCCTTACTCACTGCTATCAGTTCATGCAATTAAGCTCTTTAAGATAATAGTTAAGGTGTTACATCTTCCATGACTATATCCTTGAACAGATGCTGTTTAAACAATCACTTAAAATCATGTAATTGGCAGTGAAGCAAGTAAAAATTATACAACCAATTGACAGGCTAAATCAGCTTTTGAAAATGGAACTTGAGTATTTTCTGTAGATATATTACATAATGGTACCAATTTTATTCCCACCATCTTTGCCCACTTAAGGAGTCTGTGGGACAGTAAACATTTCCAAATGTATCTTTAGTTACTTCAAAAACAAATATACTTTTTGGAAAGCAAAAGTAATTTTCTGTGATTGTGAAGTGTACAAAAATATGTAGCAAAACAGAACTATAAATCTTGCAATCTAGTGCAGCTAGACCCCCTTGTATGGAAAAGAAGAGAAAAGTCAGATGCTAGAAAAAGAATTCTTCATGTCTATGTTGGATACATGAAAATAAATGCAAGACAAAACTATACATGTATGAAGCTGAAGTCTGAGAAGCAACATGTATTTAACTTTTGATCAACTATATGAAGATAAGGGAAAAGCTGAAGCCACTTAACTGCTGGCAATTTTTTCAAGAGAAAAAGAATTTTTATTGAAGATACTCTATACACTCTTAGGGCACCTATACATATGCAACGAGACTACTCCAACACACTTAATCGAGTCCGCTAGAGCATGGTAATTACCACGTTTCAGCAGAGTCCAGCATGAAATGTATTAGCATCCCCATGTTAAAAAATGGTGGTAGTGGGGGCACTTTAACTAAAACTCATTCAACGATACACGTGATGCTGTTGGAGCTGCTCTACTTAAAGTGCCCCCCCCACTCCCAGAGCACGTGTATAAACACCCTTCTAGTTTATTTGATAACTTCCAATCTCACACAACTGTACAACTTGATATAACATCTTCAATATACCTCAGACAGGCAAACCCATAAGAGGGAAATACTGTCTTCACAAAGCAATTCAAAATACAGAACCAAATCCTTATAACTACTAGCAGGGAAAGCCAGAAAACCCAATAGAGCTGTTTCTGTTCTATTGTGCACAAAAACAGTCAAAAGCACAGTAAAACCAAACTTTACAACAGCACTCCCTGCAAGAGCATAAAAAGGGTGCCTGGCATGAGCAAGGACAGGAACGACAAGATAGCAACTATGGAAAGTCACTAACCAAAGCTCCCAGCATACAGGCAGGTTGCTACCTTGGACCCCGACAGAGATCCATGGTGCATGGGCCACTTACTCAAGAGTTTTATAAGGCTTGCAAGATTTGGCTCTTAATTAAAATTCAATCTCATCAGATGAAAACCACCAAAAACAAGGTATACCTGGCCACAATAACACTAAAAGCCAATAAGTCTCTAGATGTGTAGCTACTAGATTCTCATTCAATAGGACTAATTCTGTTCACTGATGCATACATGCATCTCCTACTGAAGACAGTAAAAATAAAGTGATACTTCCTTTTCAAGTGTATTTTTTGCTGAGAAAGTTTAGCAATTGCAAATACATAATAAATTTAACAGGGCTTAAATTGTAGCAATTACACAAACAAAATGTGAATTGACCTCATATATTTTTAAAGCTGTGAAAAGAACTGCAAATGAATAAAAATGGTATTTCTCAAAGATGCCACCAAAGTAGCTTGGGGCAGCACATCAAATGACATTTGTAAAATACTCTGTGTTATTCTTATGGGGTTTGACACTTACCTGAATACAACAGGAGGCCGACCATTTTTGTGTTTCACAAAGACACCGTCAAGACAAGCTCCAACGAATATGTCGCTTCCCTGACTGTCCTGCAAGTAGTAGCCAGAAATATAGCAAGTACAAGAAAAAAACCTCTTTGGATGCCTGTCCATGTGCAAGGACACTGCTCTGATGCGCTGTAATTACAGCGCATTGGAGCAGACTCAATTAATCAAGTCTAATTAGCGTGTTCCAGCAGCCTCTGTGTCTCATGTATTCAGCATCCCCACTCAGCTTTAGTTAAAGCACCCCTGCTGCCATTTTGAAATGCAGGATGCTGAATACACAAGAAGCTGCAGGCACTTTAATCAGAGTGGTTCTCGGAGCCACTGTAATTAAAGTGCGCCCCTCTCCCCCACAACCATGTTTCAGGGGTGTAGATTGTAGCCGTGTTGGTCTAAGGACATAGGCAGACAAGGTTCTTTGGGCAAATCTGATACCTTTTATTAGACCAACTCAAATAGTTGGAAAAATTCTTCTTTGCAAGCTTTCAGGTACCAGGTACCCTTCATCGAGCTGAGGAAGCATATGCAGTTGGTCTGTGCTCTTCCTGGTTGGAATAGTAAAGCAGCCAGAGGCCAGAATGTATGCAAGAAAGCCAGCCAGTGAAAATGTAAATTGGGGTAGTCAGTGGATGAGAGACAGGTGGGGGTGGGAAGGAAGGGGAATGAATGTTTCTTTCTTGCATATGTACCGGCCTCTGGCTACTTTATTATTCCATCCAGGAAGAACACAGACCAACTGTGGATGCTCCCTCAGCCTGACGAAGGGTACCTGTACCTGAAAGCTTGCAAAGAAGAATTTTTCCAACTATTTGAGTTGGTCTAATAAAAGATATTGGATTTACCCAAAGAATCATATTTAACAATTTCTTTGCCTCCATTTTCCTGAGCAGGGACTGGAACAGCCACCCCCACTCTGGACCCCCCTTAGACCCCAGGGGAGGCACACCTAGGCCAAAGGTTAGTGAGGAACTAGTTAAGGAACTTCTGGAGGGACTGGATGTATTCAAATCAGCTGGTCCGGACAATCTCCATCCTAGAGTAC